AGAAGAAATAACAACAAAAGGAAAGATTATACACAACTTTATCTGTTACCAGTCAAAATAAAAGTGTTTTTTGTTTGTTTTGTTTTTCTCTAGTACTTCATCATAGTCCCAATCCGGCCTGTTCTAGCCTCAGCTTACACCCAATTTCTATTAGCATCATTATGTACATGTGCTTATATCAAAAGAAGAATACACTTCACATCATCAATTCTCAGAACCTGACAACAGATTTAACTGAAGAAAACTTGGAAAGGCTTCTCTAAGTCCCATAAACGTTTATAAAGGATAATAAATAAATAAAATAGAATATCATACCTGAAAATAGAAGCAATAGAAGGCCTAAATAAATCATACCAATGAACAAAAGAGGACTAGAAAATCTTCACAAGGTGCAAATAGTAAAACTGCATATAATATTAAGCATGTTAATATTGTATTAAAAGGCAAGCAGCTAAAAGTAGCCCAGAGAGCTTTCGGATATTTACAGGATAACTTAGTCTTCTTATGAAAGATGGTGGGGAAGTAAGATGTTGCAATTATCATGCAGAACTAGTCAGAATTCCAACTCATGTCCTGCATAGTCTTATCAAAGGTTGTTCAAAGTTTTACATTCTTTGTTGCTTAATTTTGTCTTCTGTGTTATAGCAGAAATTCTCTCACATTATCAACGCACATTAACATTTCCAAAATATATTCAAATCCATGCAAAAAGGAATAGAATACAGCTGTTGATGAGCAGGAGACTACAACTAACCAGATGCATAGCATATTCCTATAGCACGTCTAAAGCATCTCACTGATGCATGAAAAGCATCTCTTTAGCTTATGAGGCCATCACCCTCCATGAAGTTTAAGCAAGTTAAACTAACTGAGGATCTGTTCTTCAAATTTTGAAGAGGGTATCACAGAGCCTTTATTTAGAAGGCCAGGCTTACTTGATTTTTTTTAGCCATTTTTAACTAATTCCCTGAACAATTTTCAGAAGAAACAAATACTAACAAAATAGAGCATAGAGCTGCTATTTTAATAGCAATTAATACTAATTGCTTTCAATTCTTTTAGGTAAGCTAAGAACATTACCTCAAATCAAAGCAGAACCTTTAACATTTCTAATACATAAAGACACTGTCAAAAAATCTGTTTCTGAATATTAACTGTCAGGATGCTTTGATATATTAACCACAGAAAATGGCTGTAGAGTTGAATGAAAGATACTGATACATCTAACATGGAGAGTTCTAGAAACATTTACAGTTTCATACTACTTTTGATTGAAGAAAGTGCTTCCTCTGATTACATTTTCATAAAGAATAGGACTGAGAAACAATGTTCACATAAGCCAAGATTCTTTTTCCACAAAGGTTTCCCTTAGTAAACCATGCCAAAGAGTTAAAACATCAAACTTTAACTGAAACATCTTTGCCCTCCTTCCATTCCCTGCATAAACAGAAATATTTGAAAGGCAGCAGTGGTTCAAAACACCATTTAGGGCTACAAATTAGATTTTCATAATCTGTACACAAGACTAACACTATTCTAAGACAAAGTTTTTGCAAGAGGCCTATGCACACATTGCACCTTAATCTTTACCTGGAGGCAGTGACCTTTAGGACTAAAAATTTAACAACGAACCAAACTTAGCCCTCTCAAGTACTAAGTAGGTGCCTACACCTTGTAGCAAATCTAAAAACTCAGCTCAGATTTCAGAACCTAATATCTTCTACTCATCTATTACCTCATCCTGAAAGCACCTAACTTTCCTGCAAATGCTATTTTTTACTACTAATTGCTTTGATCCATGATCCAAGCCATGCAAGTTTTGACTTGGCTATAGCTATGCTCTTTTCCTACTTATTAAACATATCAGCAATCAGAAATCTGGCCTTTTCCAGTCTATCACTCCTTCCACCTAAGAGTTTACCTAACATGACTCATAGAGAAAACAGTTCTGCAAGTTAACTGAAATGCTCATCTTCCCCCTTCCTAGAGACGCATCAAGAGAAGTCTCTACTCACGGGACCCTCAGATATCCCAGGGTAGGGTGCTCTCAGGCCATCCTACTAAATCTAGGTTGCTTCCAGTGTTCAATCTACCCTGCATGAGTTGTTAATTAGAAAATAAAGCTTGCTCTAAAGCATTTTAGCTGCAGCCCACTCAGTATAATCACAGAGAACTCAACTTGATTTCAGCAGTATGCAGATGATACTCCAAGGAAAAAAAATAGGTAATAGCCTTCCAACTGCAAGTCATACTTCAATAAAATTACAATTTTTGGATAGAAAGTATAATTTTGTCAAAACTTCAGGGAGGAAGAATTCAAAGACATTATTGCTATAAGCTGCTAACATTTTATTTCAGTTGTAAAATCCTGCATTTGTGCTACAAACAAAACTGATTAAATCTAACTGGAATATTAAAAAGTCTTGGTGGTGGTGTTTTGTTTTGTTTTGTGTCTTTTTGTTGTTGTTGTTTTACTCATTTAGAATGAAACGAGATTTTGAAGACTCCAAATTTACAGCAGACACAAAGTCACTGTCTTGACTTGCTCCTTATTACAGGATTGGCACACAGAGAAAACAAACTACGGGCTTAAACAGGTTTCCAGTGAGATTCAATTTCTGTAAGTTTTTCTCCTTACGCAAATACCTAATTTCCCTCTAATCTAAGTTAACAGGGGTAGCTGGTTACAAAAATCTAAGTGCACATTAATAGATTCAGTAAAGGTAGTGACAGCTGTACCTGCAAAGATCTACCTCTATCATTCACCACAATGTAGTTGTAAGCTAAAGATGCTTTCTCATGTCATTACCTCAGAGAAAAGCCATACTGTAACCAGAAGCTGCTAAAATTTGTTAAATTATTAAGAGCTCAGTAATAGAAGTTGTGACAGACAGAGACAGTCAAGCAAACTCATCATTATAACAGTGCTGTGTCCTCACATGCCATATAAGATTGGCACATTTTCTCAACACAAAATTGCAAACACAAGCAAATCTGTAAGAGCTCTCATGATCCTCAGTGCAGGAAAAATCAGAAAATAAACTCCATGCAACAGCTTGAACAGCATCAAAAATTCTTATTGGTACGGGTGCTCAGACAAAGCCTGTGTTGTATTATGTGTTCATGGAGCAATCAACGGGTCATAATTAAAAGTTGCAGTACAAGCTAAGGAGGTGAAAGTGTTATGTATAGTGTGTTCCCTTACCAGTTGCAAACAGGAAAACAACAATAAGGTAAAGTAAAGTAAAGTGAGGTAAAAGTAAAAGTAAAGTTCCTCATGAAGTTTGTCCCTGTCAGGACAGAAGCATAATGTAACTCAGATGACAGGTATTTGCCACAAGAACTCGCACATTCATCTTCAAATAAACATCTTCCATGTAACTGAGTAAAGCAGAAACCAGACATTTTGCACAGTTTGGAAGCTGACCCTTGCTAGGAAATGCCCAGGGTAATAAATTCAGTATGCTTTGAAAACTTCTGATATATCTGTCATCAATTTGTGTTAGTCATTCTAACACAATAGGAAACAAATCAATTTTGACTTGAGACTTCTGTAATTCATATGATGCAAACTCAAAAGTAAAATTAAATTATTAAAAGTTACAAAAGAAATTGAGAGGAAATTTAAGTTTAAAAAAGAGAGTAAGAACAGTATCTTTCCACAAAATATTTCACTAAGCGTCTTCGTGCTGTCTGTTCTCTGGTATTGTGGTCTGTGTGTCACTATTAATTAGGATTCCCATTTTTCGATGTTTAAATTCAGAATTAATTCATTTGGGGTGAGATTTACTCCAAGAGCACACCAAGTCCCTGTTCAGAAAAGCTACTTGAGGCACCAACCTTATTGTCACAGCCAAGTTCTCTGTACATCGTTTGTTTGGTCAGCTTCCAAGATATGAACAAGATGCAGACTGGCTCTGGACAAGTGGCATTGATGTTCTGGTGCTGGTTCCAGCTCTTGCATTGATTTCTGGCTTCAGTAAACAGGCAAATGGCAGCAAACCTGCCCTAAGCTCATTTCATGGCACATGGATTTAATTTGCCCTTCCTCTTCTTTACGCCATTTAAAGACGAGCACTGTCTCGTTGTATTCTTTTCTTTTTACCATTAATATTGACCTGGTTTAATTGTATAGAAACATCTTCGCTGTTTTGATGGTACAAGTGCCACTTCTTTATGAATGCAGACATCCCTGCACATTGAGATAATTTACCTTTTATGCGTGCTTGGTTTGATTGTTTCTTTAAATAAATAAAAATTTCCTGAAAAAATCCAATCAGTTGATTTGTTCTTCTAAGGCTATGAATTTAATGCCAATGAGTAAAATGTTCATTGCATTGAAACCTCAGCCCAAAGGCACTTTAGCTCCTCATATTGGCAGAACATATTTGCCATATACTGTAAAAGTTTATACATTTATACTGTAGGAGAGGACTTTCACATGACAGGAACCTCAAGATCTCTTACAAATTGCTAGGCCTAATGTACTTCAATAGCCAAAATGAGCAAGTGAATGGGTAAAATAATTAGAAGATATTAGAATGAAACCTCAGCTCATACAAGTCAGGATATGGATTTATAGCATGGAGGATCTAAATTTGTTCCCTCCCATCTTTTGTTCTCTTGCATTTACCCCACGGGCCTGATTATTGTCATTTCAATGTTACCCAAATATAATTCATCTTTACACAAACTTTGTATTTTAATGCAGCTTTGTTTTTTGACTTCCTTGGAGAGTATTACTGAAAATAAAATGAAAAAAAAAAAACAAAACCACCATAGGATATAAAACCTTGATTTATATCCTAGTAATCTAGTAATTTCTGAATAATACTGGGGCAGAACAATAATGTAGCCTAAACAGCATTGGCCCTTATATTCACTTTTCACTTAAAAACACAACTGCCCACTAAAAATTAAACATAAGATATGAAAATCCCATCTGAGCATATTAATCTGTGCTCACATGTATCTTCCACAGGATGCGTGTATATACCTACCGGAATCTTGCAATTCCTCACCGTGTCTGGGTTGTAGCAGTTAAGAAGCAGAGGAAAGAAAAAAAAAAAAAAAGTAAAAAGAACACAGAAGACTAATTAAACATGGCATGAAAAGAGATCTACCAACAATATTCAAATCAACAGTGCAAGAACATAGCTCATAAGCAACTGATACACTGCAATATGCCCACAGAACATGTTTGTTGAATAAAGAACAAACTAAGCCTGCTTACAGATGAGTTACAAGCAGAGAAACAGACCCAAATCCATGGTATTGCTCACTGATGTCTTCTCCATTTTACCCCAGCGGAACTACCAGTAGAGTACTAAATAAGTAAAGGGGTGCTCTATACTCTTAATCTTCTAGTTATGGGTTAAATCATGCACATGATGCATTCTCCCAAGAGAAGGACTTGCAATCATAATTCAGAGCTGAAGACTACGCATCCTTGTGATGGGAAATGCTGGCAGTGCTGCAGGTTCCCCAGAAAGCACCTGTGTCTTTGCGCTGACAGAAGATAGGGTACCCTGCCAGGAAGCCGGGCACTTTCCTGTTGCCTAGCCCCGTGGAGTCAAGTTTGCATCTGAGCTTTACCTCTGAAGCTGGCAGACTTACACCTCAAGAAGGCAACTTTATAGTCAGAACATCTCCTTATATGCACTCTTCTGTTTCCACTTTCTGTAGAAGGAGCCCAGACCATCAGCTTTCAGGTCTTTAAAGGCAGCTGAGAGAAGTTCCACTTCGATAACCTTACAAAGACCTTATTTGCAGCAGCACTGCGCATCACAGGTTCATGGCTCATATCTATTTACTTCTTAGCATCACACTGCCCTCCATGCTGACTAGGTTAAAACTTTAGACTCCTTAAACTTATTTGAGATCAAGTATATCATGAGCACTTTGATTTAGGAAATGCTCTTGCATAATACTGAGAGTCATTTTTCGTTGTCTGTGAACAGCAAGAATAGTTTTTATTGTATTGGATACCCAAACCTTTCTGGACATAAATGTGGGGTTTTGTTGCTCATTTCTTCTTCAAAGTCCATACTCAGCTTGGAACTCTTTGGCTTAGTACTCACTAATGCTCAAAAAAGAATACAGAGGAAATTCAATGGAAAAAATAGCTTTTGAGACATTTTTCAGGCACATCTATTCAGATGCATTGTTCAGGAATAAAACTACTTTGAAAAAGGGGAAAGAATGAAAAATATAAGTCATTTGCAGAATTCTAATTCACCTATGAGGGTGATCCTATTAATCAGCTTTCATATTGTTCCTGTTGACCTTTATCTGACAGTCATGCTATTACTACCCTACTGCTCCTTTTAAATCTACCTTCCTGCATCACTGAATAGGAAGAAAATAAGTTGGCTTAGAACAGGCCATGACCCCAAGCACATGAGAGACAAGTGCTGACTAATGTTGATTAATTTCCTCTGAGTCATGTTAACATTGCTCTCCAGTCTGTCACTTCAGCTTGCAATGATGTGCACTGACTGCAACCCCAATCTTTTAAAAATACTAGAGTGTAAAGTGAGTGCTTCTGTAATAAAAGCCTAACTTAAAGAAAACACATCTTTCCAGGCTGAATCTGCTGTTAAGTGTTCTTCACCTTCCATCAGCACTGTAAGGGCATTTTCTGGTAGTTGGGTCAACAAGGCTACAGATTATTTCTATGAATACAAACTTGAGAAAGTTTTGAAAACAAAAAATCTGGCTAAGGAGGAGTTTATACACTATAAACAATTTTAAATTAGTTACGTCTCACTGAAACATTTTGCTTCTGCTTGCCTCATTTGTATGACTTTCTATACGTGGATGAAGCTCCATGAAGAGAGGTTATGGAACAGGTGAGCTCAGAACAAATAAAAGCTAGGACTTTTAAAAATACTTCTGACTCCATAATGTGTTTGGAATTGCATTAGTTACATTATTTCAGTCTTCAGAATAAGGCACCTACAATCTCTGAACTGCAAGAATTGAAGTGCCACAATGTAAGGTGACAAAAAATCTCATGCACCAACTAGGGGTCTGATGCACATGACTCAGCTATAAGAAAGCATTTCACTTCTATCATGATTCACAAATTGAAGCCTTACCCTTGGGTGCCAACACCAGTTGTTTCAGAGAACTTGGAAGGAAGCAACAGCCTTATTTAAGCAGTCTTCTGCCACTGGAAGAAGCCATGCCTCTTTTATTCGGAATGAGAAGTCCACATTTACTGCCTCACAGAAGAGTGCCCAGGCCAGCAGCTGATGATGGACAGAGGCACGTGCACTGAGAGCCCATACACTGAAAATGGATCACAGTAGACAAAGGAAATTCAAGATCCCTGAGCTGGACTGAAGCACTTCTAAGCAAGCAAAATGGAAAGTATCTGAAGAATATCCGAAGGAATGATTTTCTCTATTACTAAGAGATTTTGATGTCTCCAGGATTACTGAACGGGTATTCCTCATAATCCCATCAATGTCATTAGACAGAAAAAACAAACATGCAAATCCCAAAGATATCCACTACACATTATCATTTACAAATTTTAATATTATTGTTAAGGACTTGCATCTATGTTTAGGCACCATCGTAAAAGATCTGCAAAGTACAATTCATCTGCCAATCTCATTACATTCACTGTGAACTGATGCTGCTGCTTACCTCTGAAAACCAGATTACTTGGTCAGACTTGTACCTTTTGAGTTAGCTGTACAAATTTTAAAACGTAGTTCATCAGGTTCAGCCTTATTCCCACTGAGTTCCATGATAAATGGCTCAGAATCAATTACCTCTGTGATCCCAAACAACTGATGATATGTAAGGTCATTCTAATCCTGCTGTTTGATACAGAATACCCTTACAAAAACAAGGAACAATACCACATATTGCAGAATGTGGCTATGTACCTCAGTTGCTCCTTGATATTGAGTTTCTTAAACCTCAAAGGCCTTGAATCCACTTCAGAAACACACACAAACCAATCATACCTTCACACAGGAATATGTAAGTACGAAATTGTCTTAGATTGGAACTGTTTCTCAAAAAGCTATCACTTTTATGCCTCATTCTGCATTCAATGCAAAATAATTGTACAGTTTAACAAAATGAGGAAGCCATTGAAAACTGAATATCATGATCCCAGTGTCTTCCAGTCTGTATGAGAAATCTGTATCTTTACATGAAACAGTTCCTGGTTTAGAATTTATAAGATTTTCCCCTCAACACCTGAAATTTCCTTATTTCTTTTCTAGATCCACTTCTCCACAATCCCAAGAATGACATTCAAAAATTTATGTTCATCAGTGTGCATGTTTGAATCTATTTCTGAATATAAACATGTATACAAATATATACACATATATGACCATGAATGCACATGAACCATCAGATAATACCCCTAGAACGAGCATAATTCTGACTACCCATTATGCCTGTAAGAATGCAGGGAAGCCCTTCTGGTAGTAGCCATAGTACGATGTATTTACACGCAACATCTTTCCAAAACCAAAGTGATGCCATACCCGTGGTAACTTAATTACATAGCAGTCAGATCCAAAGAAATTCAAGCTATTTTAGAAGTCATGAAAAACAAGTATAACTCAAGCTAAAAAAAGCTACCTTGAAGAAAACAGTCACATAAAAATATTTGCTATAAAAGGTCTTTTCATTAAAAAAAAAAAAATAAATAAAGCTCATATAGACCAGAAGTAGTGTGTCTTTACTGCTCTGCCCTCAGTGGTCTGTGCTCTGCTCTGGAGCTTTTGTAGCTGGCTCAGAGCTCTTGGGTCTCACTCAGAGCTGGAGACAGCCCCATTCCTGGCAAAGGGAGGGGAAAAGAGACTGCTCCCATGTACTGTAGCTGGCAGCCTGGGTGTCCTGCCCCTTAGCATGTGGCCAAGGGGACCTGTGAACCCACTGCCTTGAATCTTCCCCTGATTTTATTTAAGATTACGATGGAGGAGACCCCAGAATCTCTAGCATATGATTCTTTCACCCCTTGGAAGGAAATAGGACTGAATATTCCCTGCCTGTGAGGAAGTTCTCCACAGAAAGAAATACTAAATTTTATCATGGGACTCACATTTTAAATTATCAATGATTAAGTTTCACCTGAATGAGTGAAATACTCAATGAGGAAATATTCAACCTCATCAAAAAAATTACCAGTGGAAAGTGGTTGCAACTTTTAAATATCTACTATTGCTAAAATATTAATACAAGTTAGGAGATGTCTGTAGGGACATTACCTCTCCTTGTGTTACTGCTCAGGCTGAGCCACTTCATCGATGGAGCTGGGTGCACAGCCCTGACAGAGACACCACAGCACCACCACCATGCCAGCACACAGCAACTCCCCTCCATGGTGGGAGCCTGCTGGGCACTGTACAGTCACCACGCGCGCCAAGGGGTTCACAGCTTTAGCTGTGAAATTCCTGCCCTGAAAAATCAAAATATAATTACAATATGCACATCCAATAAATGGAATGAGAGGACCTAATTCTTTTTGTGAAACAAATGTTTACTTTTAGACCATAGCAAAAAAAAGAGTTTCAATAATTTTGAAGCTTTTGTTTTTAGTCAGTCATTGATCAGCACATTGAGCATGGGCTCATTTTATAACCCTGTGTAGAAGGCAACATCTGACCACTAGCACAGAGTATTTTCACCTTCAGTTAAAACTACACACAAACTTCTAATACCAGTTTTTGTTTTTAAGACTCTTTATATTCCTGTTTAAACCACCCAGCTGTGAAGAGGTAGTGAGTAAACACGTTCAGGATGGAAAAACATTTTCTTCAGGCTATATTATGTAAACAGATGTGTGTGCAAGTGTATGCCTCTATGTTTGCATATGACCGGATCTACGGTAAGTTAAGCAGAAGAACCTGACCACATCTATATGCTGATTTTTCATACACTTCCCACACTCCCCAAAAAAAACATAAAACAAAACAAACAAACAAAAAACAAAACAAAACAAAACAAAAACTCAGTTTCATTCTGCACATTCCTAGGGGTGGCAGGTACAAGATGACAGACATGGGGTGAAAGCTTAGTCAGACTTCCTGGCTCAAGTAATGAGGCTGTGCAAGCTGAATAATACAACCTGGTTTAGGTACACACATCAGCCAGGTGCAACCAACACTGAGCTGACACTAACACGTGTAAGCCTCTGTGAAGTCCCTGGTGTCCGTTGATTCACCCATTTGTTCTCTTCTCCACATCCTTGTTTCTTTGACTTGGGCAGTGGTATTCATATTGCTTGGGCCAGCAGACAGGCTATAACGTTGGATGCACCTTGCCACATCCGCATAGACAGCTATAGGGCATAATATCCTAACTGGTGGCAACTGAAAAGCTCCCATCAGCTAAACTGAAGCTGTATCTAACCCTCCATCTTCAAGGAAGAATCTGTGCAGCCACCATCAGATGGTGCGTTTCTCACCAGACGTCAACACCTGCTTTTGATATTGCTGGTAATTTAACCCCCACCTCCACCCCAGACTTCTTAATACAGTCCTCCAGCATTTTCTGTTTGCTATAAGCTATGTGTATGCATGTCATGTGTCATGAATGTAAAAATATGCATATGATCACTTTGGCAAGGCTTACCAGTTACAGATGAAATCCTAGAAAAAGAAAATTAGACACCTAAAGCTATATTAGCATGATGCTAAGTACTAGGATTCATGTGACAAAAGCCAGGCCAAGCAGCTTAGAGGCAGATATTATTTCTCCTGCTCAGCCCAAGGTGCTTCCAGGAGGAACTGTGAGCACTCTCAACTGTGCAGGATCTGAGATGTCCAGATACTCCTCGAATCCAGGAGCTAACCTGCTCAGTAACAGTCCCTGAATATATTTAATGTTAAATACCATGTTAAAGTAATTCATTTTGGGTTTTTGTTTGGTTAGCATACAGCAAATCTGCCATGTACAAATGCAATTTCCATAGACACCAAAATAAGTAAAGGATTAATCCAGAGGAACTAGTGTGATTATTTTGGCAAATAGTATACATGCAAAGAATAGTTTTTAAATACAAGATGAATTTAACAAAATTTTCAACTATAAAAAGTTTCAAATAATCTTTCTTAAAAAAGTTTTCAAAGGGTAAAGCAACATGAAGATGGAATGAAATACACAGTTTTGGGACAAATAAAACGTTTCAAGTCAACTCAAAGCACTTCCAAGGCCAAAACAAAACTATCCAGTATTCCCATAACACCCATGAATAACACTGAAATGTGTGTGGTTTATAAACAGAAATAAATTTGCAAAATGTGACACCTCACTATTCTGAATCTATCACCTTGATTTATAAATTGTAAAATTGCACTGGTGTTTTATCTAGAACTGTATTTGTGTTCAGTTTCAATGCAACTTTCAGTGGAAGAACTTGAAGACCTTATTATAACATAACACAAAATGGAAAAAAAAAAAAAAAAAAAAAAAAAAAAACAAGCCTGAGCGAGCTTCAGAAAGATATTTTTAGAGAAAAATAAGACTAATGTTTTACAAGGGCCTAAAAGCCAGTCCTGCCTCACTCTCTGACTGCCTGTTAGGGCTTTACTCTGGACTGCTACTGAGAAACATTTCTCTTAACAGCTACTCATGAAGCTGAGCACACCTAATATTTAGCCCCAGAAGCTCTCACTGCAGCCACAAAAGCTGTAACCATGGAAGGGTATGGAACAGCATCAATCCACCAAAAGCCTACTGCCACTGCTGCTGTCCAATACAAGGAAGTGAAAAATCTTGCAAGTCCTAGATAGAAAGCAATAAGGTGTCAGGACTGGTTGGAAGACCATGGAACAAGACAGGGATTAACTGGAGGCACAGGGTAGAGCACAGACAACTGTGGGGTGTAAGTATTGAAGGAGATGCACCTCTGTGTGCCTCTGAAAATGGACATTTTATTTCACAGCGTTCTTAAAGCAAGTTCCTGCCAATACAGAGTACGAACAGAACATATAGATTGCTCGTATATCAAGAATACATAGATGAACTACATCTTGCATTTAAACAAGTGGTTATAGAAATTAGAAGTTACTATAAAGGTGGCACATGGTAAAAAGGAGGAGTTTAAAAGAAAATGCAGTTAGGAAACAAATGTATTGTCTAGGGAACAGCAGTCTGAACTCCGTTATAATATGTCATGATACATCAGTGTGAAGTTAATCAGAGATGTCCAGACCCATGCATCACTATTAATTACCAAAAAAAAAAAAAATCTTCTAAATATAAAATCTATAAAGAAATACTTGTAGGTATGTTTCAAAGGTATCATACATTACAGG